AGATATTTGAAATTACTATGCCACAAAATAAGGAACGAAGGGTTGGAAAATTTGACACTCACAGGACATGAAGAAAGCAAGAGGGACAGAGGAAAACAATGAATAACCTACCTAGTGAGTTTGAGTAAACATATGGCAGAACAGGTTTTAGCAGAGATAACAAAAAGAATTATTTTTTAAGTGCTACAAAGGAAATTGTGAAGAGCTATGATTGCCTACATCTTGAAGTGATATTGTGCATAGAAGAAGAAGAAAAATTAATAAATTCTGATCACTTCAAACCCATTCGGGTAGGGATCAGTTATAACAAATTTAGTTTAGTAGATAAGGAAATGGAACACAGAATAGGCTGTTCATGGTGTAGTTTTCAACAATACTGCAGGTTGTGCTCCAAAACTAAAATATTAGCCTAAAACACTAACAATGTTCTTAAATAGCCTTGTCTGATCTAAACTCAAATATTGATGTCATGTATGAAATCCAACCTGTTCAGAAATATTTAAACTCTCATCTCTATACAACCCTTTTCTCAGATTAATGATTAAAAATGGCTTCAAGCAAATGGATCCATTAGATCTAAAAGAAGCTGATCCTTCATTAGATCATATAGACTGGTGCTGCAGTATTGCAAATGAAGAACTTTACCTAATAATAAAAATCATATCACTTGAAGACTTCCAGCAGCTGCAGCAACTAAAATGGATAAGGGGGGTTTACGGGCATATGCTAAAACACCAGTTCCTGTAAAATCCCTGAAGTTAAGTAAATTTGAGCCTGGTCAGTACCTAGATAGGTGAAATTTAGGAATACAGATGTCAGCTTGGATGTGTGAGTAGTATAGTGGATGATGGTTCAGAAAAGTTGAAGGCATTGCCTGTATAGTAATGTTAGTTTATTTTGTCAAGCCATTCTCTATTGTCACTTTCTTTTTTCTTCTGGTGGCTTTGAAGTTTTTGGTTCCAATGGTGATGGAACATTGCCAGTTGATACAGTCAAGTACATGTATTTAAAATGATTAAGGCTTAAGTCCAGTGGATTTCAGTGTTGTTTAGAGTTGGTCTTTGTGTCTTCAAAGAGAGCAAATCCCATAGTCTTTTCCCTGAAGTGTGTTCACTTAATAAGACTTGGAAATCTTGATTCAGTGCTTTGACTGTTGACGCTATCTGTAGCAACTAATTTGTTCAGAAATGTCTCAACTCTCATCTATATACAACTGTTTTATCAGATTAAAAATTGCTTCAAGCTAATAAACAATCTGATAATGGATGGTCTTAAAGAAGAACATCCTTTATCAGATTTCAAATAATGGTGCTCCAGAATCATAAAGAACTGTTCCAAATAACAGAAACCACATCACTTGAAAACTTTCAAAAGCAGAACAACTAAAATGGTTAGCACATGTAACTTAAAGAAAAAATAATGACATAATCATGATGTAAACCTTCACTACCTTAAACAAAAGGTCAGTAAGGAAAATCCCAGCAATACTAAAACTAAACAATAACAGTGAACCTGAGGTCCCTATTTTCCCATGAGAAAGATTTTATAAATTTCAACAAACAGTAACACTAACTGTTCAGTGTTGAATGTTTCCTTATAAGGAAACAGGTAATCTCACAACACACTCAAAAAATAAAGAAAAGCAATTAATTTCATCTACTATAAAAAAAAAAAAACAATCAAGAGTAATAAAACTCAAGGTAGCAAAACTAACTTACATGTCTCTATTCTGACCCACTTTCCATTTTGTTTTTGTCAACCTTTCTAGTTTTTTGTTGCTTTCTCTATAGTTTTGAGTTTTGTAATCCTCCTTGACTGGCTCCCACCCAAGGCTAGAGAGCTCTATCTACCCTGCTATTTAACCCATAGCTGAAGGAGTGGAGACAAGATAAATTCATACCTTTCCCAAAGGCACAAGCATGAAATGAGCACAACAGATCTGGCTAGAATTTGAACCTGACCAACTGATTCCATTTTATGTGCTGATAGCAGTTCTGCTACCTACTCATGCTGAAGTTTATTAATATTGTGAAAATACAGACTTTAATATTCTATCCATTTTTATTCCTTCTGACTAGTATATGCAAAAGTCCTCATCAGTAATATTTTGGTTTTAGAATAACATGGCATTTTACTGCTTTCACCAAGATAACATGTTATAGTGTCATCATTGTAAATCATATATCAATGGTCATATTATATCAAGATGACTAAATACAGTGTAGACTATATTTTTTAATTCATTTTAATTATTCTATCTCTAGACTTACCAGCACTTCTGCCAATTTGCAAATTGGCAGAGGTGTTTGTAATTTCTAGAGATTGAATAATTAAAATAAATTTGCTAGTCACTGATGCAAAATATTTGTTTGTTCTCATGTTTCTTTTAAGAATAAATCTCTTTTGTTACTGTATTCATGAATATCATCATTTAAATTGCTAATGTTCAATTATTTCAAAATGAAATGTCTTGTCTTAATTTATGCTTCATAAAGGCAAAGGTGCTGCAAAAGATTCTTCGTAGGTCTTTCATTATTTTTCACCATTATTTTGCACCATTTTCTTCGTCTCATATTTTTTCATCCAAGTCTTTTAAATAAAACATTTCTTTCTTGTGCTGATAATTCTAACTTTTTGCTTTTTCAGAGTGCATTCCTCACCAAGTGTTGCATAAGGCTCAACCTCTTTCAAGGCTTCTTGAAATACAAAAGTAAGTTTTTATTTTTACTCTTTACTCTCCTCATGGAAGAATGATTGAGTTATATCACTGTCGAAGCGTGTCTAAAATTTTGAGATGGCAGCATGACAAGATAACTTTATTTGTTTTTATTAAACTTCACTTACTCCAATCTATGGTTCTCATGAGGTAATTTTCATAGGATATTTTCAATAAACATAGGCAGATGGTAATGGATTTTTTCCTCTATAGCATAAATCCATTTGAAGCATAAAAGAAAATGACAGCATCAAAGAGAAGTGTCTGTTTTCTAAAATCTTAAGAGTTCTACCTGGAAAGAATCTTGATAGTTAATATTAATTAACTTTTTTTTTTAGACTGCTATCAAAGCTGGACTGTCTGTCATCTATATCTATAATTCTCAAAATGTATGTGCGTATGCGTGTGATTGCATGTTTATGTGTTTCCATAGTTTTCATCCGATTTTGATGAAATTTTGATAGATAATTCTTCAATGCTGGTTTTGAGTTACAACCTCGAAGGTGAAAAACCAAAAAAAATGATTTTTTACACTTTGCACAAAAATCAAAGGCAAAATTTAATGTCTGTAAAAATAGCATATAATCAATATATAACACAAAAGATTATTAGAATTACAAAAAAATCATGTTATAAATAAAAATTATCGTATATTATTATATATAATGATGATTCATGGAAGAGGTTCCTTCCTTGCAACATTGAAAATGCGAAAACGGCCCTTTTCATGCCCCCCCATTTAAATTGTTAACCCCCCCCTATTTGGGGATGTGCCTCAGTTCCCCCAATTGTTGTTACTATTATTGATTTTCAGATAGGCTGACTTTAGACTTAAATTGCTCCAGCTGAACAGCAAAAATTCCCATTAATGAAATGCCTGGTCAAAGATGGGTTATATTGCTAGTTGTTAAAATAAATCCTAATAGTTTTAATTCGCTTTGGATCATTTCACTGTACAGGCTAAGTAAATCTGGTAAGAAAATGCATCCTTGTTGAACTCTATTTTTATACATTTATTAAAGTCATTCTCTATCCACATGCGAGCTGTTTTGTTCCCAGTAGAGGTTAAAAAATACTCAAATATCATTCTTATGTAAATCAAGCTTTTGTAATATTTCAAGTAGCTACCTCTTCATGTTGAACCCTATCAAATGCCAAGGGGCTGCATTGAAAGAGACTAAGATATCATAGCCCAAGGTAGGCAATCTTTTCATTAATATTAACTGCTTGGATCCTTTCCATGTAGATCTCCTAAGATTGTTAAGACACTTGTTTTGATGTTGACATTTTTTTTTTATAATTTAACTAATTTAACTACAAGGAGAAGAAAAATTTAATGTCCAGGAGAAGAAAAATTAATAAGCACCATACCAGGAGAAAACATTGAAGGAAATAATTTTGTTATGCCATCACTTATATTGGACACACAAGAGGAGTTGAACTCTAACATCAGTAAATTAGCTAATCTATCTCCTGATCTTCTTTTATGTGCCATGTACCTTCTCGACATATGCAATCATGGTTCTCCACATCTTCCTGTCCCTTGTAGCTCTTAATAAGTTTTGTCTCTTTGTTATTTCTCCAAACCCTGCTCTACCATCCATTTACTGAAGCTCATCAAGTATGTTATGTGCTGCTTTCCTCTGTCCTGTGTGTATCAGATTTACCGGGCCCTTCTTTCTTATGTGCCTCAGAAATTTTAACTGCCTCTTTTTGATGTTAAGTATAAGTTTCCTTTTTGTTTCCATTTTCTCCAAAACCTTGTTCAATCCATGGTCTCCTTAGCATCTTTCTGTAGAACCACATTTCTGTTGCTTCAAGTCACTTCATCATCTTTGAGGAGATTGCCCAGTATTCGCATCCATACAAGAGGGCAGATATCAAATAACAATTCAATATTCTTTTCTTTGTTTTTGATAAAATTTTCCTGTCTCTTAATACTCTACTTAGCTTTTGGAATGTATCTTTGGCTCCTGGTACAATGCCTAATTGTTGTAACCTTTGATGTCCTGTTTCACTTGAATAAGGCCATAGTTTTTGGTAATTAGTTCATCTGTATTCATATGATTTTCATGGAAGCTCTGAAAACTACAGCTGCATTTTCTTTTTAGCAAATCAAGTTGGAAATTTAACATTTATTACAATATATAAAAATTATCAACAGGAAAAAAATCTGAAAACAAAGGTTATTTTTATTTGATGTAGAAATTGATTTGTACTGAATGCAATATAATTGTGGCTAATAAGGAAAAACTTTACCTGTTATCTTCCAGTTGCCATTCAG